CCAGACCCTCCAGCAAATGTTTACAATAAGAAGTTTCTTTTTTTGGAGGGGGGGTGAATATGGTCAATCGCCTGTCTGCGTGACTTGTTATTTTTGCCACCAATGTCTAACCTTCTCACGCTCTTTTGTTTCCATTCTATTTTTGTGAAATTACCAAGCGATTATTATTGTAGCTAAGGAATATTTTGGGCCTTTGATGAAATTTTCCGAGTACAGTCCGGAATTACTCGAAATTTTCCGTTGTATCGAAACTGGAAGATCAAAGCTTCGGGAGAGTCCGGTAGAGATATGACGGAATGCTGTAAGAATTCCGATTTCATATTGGTGATGAAGGGAGAACAAGACTTTTGGGCGGTCGAGCGCCTTTGAACTTCCTGCTGGCTAATAATCCGTAAAAACCAGATTGAGTAATTGGAATTATTTTCAATCAGGGGCGTATTACAAAGCCCGGAAAACCCCTTTGACCCGAAATATTCAACGGAAAATTTTGATTGGTCAAGTAGTCTGTGCGGGAGGCTGTGGTGACGAAATTTGATTGACAGTTAGGTTCGAAGAATGCACAAGGCTGCTTTATTTGCAACTGAAGAGGAACACGCTTGACAAGCGAGGAAGGTTTTGTTCAATTTCAACACAATTCATACATCTATCTTCCCTACTACGACTCAATAAGGATTTTGAACTATTCTAAAGCTATTTGATAAACATTTAGAAGCGACCATGGCGTACAAATCGCTTCTCTTCGTTTGTTACGCACTTTGGTTCTCGATGTTTTCATCTCACCACACAATGGCCGACGACTTGGATGGATTAATCAACATTGACGAAGACGATTCGGGACCTCAGAAAGAAAGCACTGTAATCAATGAGCGAGTTGAAAGTGCTGATGGTGAAGAAGACGGTGAAGATGATTATTCGGGCTCTGTTATGTCGGATGAGAGTGGTAGTGGTAGCGGTGATGGAGGTGATGAAACAACCACAGATCCCAGTATTGTGGATGTAACAGTTGTGAGCCCAAGTGTTACCTCGACAACTGAGATGGACAACGAGATCACAGAAGGCACTTCAAAATCCAGCGAGGAGTCTGAAAACGTCGATGAAAACATGTATGGTGGTGGTGTGAATACCGTTCGTAATAATTTCGCTACAAAGGATTCTACTGGGCAGTCTCCAAATGCCGAAGCACAGGGACAAGGGGGGAAAGGTGGAAAAGACATGGTAGGTGAAAAGGTACCAAAAGTACTTACCACTGAAGTAATTGCTGCTGTGGTTGTGGGAGCTGTTTGTGCTGTTATACTCATTGCATTCCTCGTTTATCGGCTCCGAAAGAGAGATGAAGGCAGCTATGCCCTAAGTGATGGTGGCTATAAAGATACGTATAAGTTACAAGCCGATACGGGAAAAGAAGCGTTCGTTTGAAGTAACGAAAGACAGTGACTCGTTTTATTTTCTAAACTGTGTATTTTTTAGACTGAAAGATGGCGTTTCTTTTTCTACCAAAGCCAAGGTACGCCTTCCAAGGCACGAAATCCCCAAGCACGCGATGGAATTAACTAGAAAGTTGATACGTTCAGATTTCGGCTTAAAGCGAGCTGAAAAGCAGTATTACCTAGAATAGAGGTGCGTTTCATAACCACAAGTAATCTTAAAACATCAAACGGTGGCTTGTCTTCTTAATAGGTTGGTTTTTTTAGGTTTGGTACAGGCGAAATCGGTTCCACAGATTTATTTTCATGTAATTCGAGGTTTAATTGACAAGCGTTTTTAATTTTATCAGCACAGCAACTGTTTTGCCTGGGTCGTTTGTACCCAAATTAAGGATGTTTTGTACATGATATACATATATATATATAAATTTAAAACGACTTAAACTTATAATTTTTTAACCAGTTTTTTTGTTATCAAAAGTATGACTGTACAATAGAGTATGTCCCTTGCGGGTACGATTTATTATAAAAGAAGCGGCACTAGGGTTCGGCGCGACTCTAGGATAATTACGACTACAATTTATATTAAGTTTATATTCGAAATTTCCTTTACTAAGTTGATTTTGTACCGTAGAACCACAGTTTTGGGTGAGTATTGTTTTTTTAAGTTAAACTTTGCTCACGAATCAGAAAAACAAGAGCGAGAGAAGGTATTTAAGTTAAGTGTTAATGTAGCGGCTTTGCCATCGGGCGTGCATAATCGTAGATTATTCCACAAATTAATGTATACACTTCCACTTTTGCAAACCGCATTTACTTGTAATGAAAAATGCTGTTTCGACGGCTCAATTTTGTAACTAATAAACCTTTGAAGAAGTTTTTCCACATTTCTGATGCCGTTTCTTTATTTTGGATGACACTGGTCGAGCATAATTAAGGGTTGTTTGTCTGCTTGTATTGTCGGCGGGGTAATCTCGTTCATCAAGTGCGCGATGTCGATAATGACATATATTTGGCTTTGTGGGTTATACCTTCATTTCCTTTCTAATTCTGTCGTCGTTAGAAAAACAACATGAGCCCATGACTCCTAACATTTATAATCCGTGTTCTTGACTGCAACGAACGTCTAAATCTCGGAACAACCTACGCCAATAAATGTCTAAGGGAAAGGTATAAATATTGTGGAATGCAATGGACCCGACATTGGATGATCATGATGTGCGATATAAGCTTTATTTATTGCAGATTGTGAAAGTATGCTTGAAACTTGTTTGATTTCGCTAGAAATTTCAACTTCGTCTTATTTACTGTGTGGCTGTGTTTTCTTGTCTCCTCGACTTATTTTCACGAGTTTCAAGTTTCGAAGGCCCGCATTGAAAAGGTTTTGATATATTTATTAGATCGTCTGGCTGGCTGCAACTGACAGTTTGCGGCTGCTTCAATACAAAAAATGCAAGATATCACAAAATTCCTTTTGAATATTTCAGAAAATGATAATCCCGTTACATTAATGCACGTGACCTCAGAAACATTCCCAATACCTTGCGAGCAAAGGCCCTTCAAACGAAAAATTACCTCTGGGCCCTTTCATTTTCGATATGGTACGCAAATGGTCATAACATTTCTTTGCAATATATTTAGAAGTTATATAATAAGGGAGTTTAGAAATATAGTGAGAATCGAAGCTGGTGGCAAAAATGAGAGGAAGGAGAGAGAATCTTTCCTTCCTGTCATTTTTGCCTTGTTGTGAGAGACCTCTGCTGGCAGGGAAGCGTACCGTTTGCGAAGTATAAGAAAGTCATCAGTGCCAAAATACTTTTTGGAAACTACAATACATTTCTGTCACAAAAGGATAAACTGGTGAACAAAACCAAATTTATTCTATAATTGTCAGCGAAACTGGAATTTTTAATCATTTGGCCATGGCATGGAAAGAGCAGGGAAGGGGGGATCATAGCCGGGTTTCAGTGGCAACTGAAAGGCCAATTTCTGATCATTAGAAAATGTCTGCTCACTGTATGTAAGATATATTTCTGCATTTCAAATACATACTGTTATTTGCAACAAAACGGTAGAAGAAAACAAAATAACATATAGTGTACATTGTGGTTGACCACAGGGTCGAGGCATCCCACAGAAATCCAAATTAGAACAATGATTACCTAAAAATTGAAAAAAAAAAATGATAACAAAAAAATACTGGGATTTTGGAATCCAACAGGTAGCCTCTTAAAAACATCTGCAAAATGAGTACTCAGTATGACCATACTGGGGAGTTTAAAATATTGTATTTAAAAGCACTTTGGCCTTTTACCTTGACAGGCAGCTCAATTGTTTTATAGGATTTCTTTCCCAAAGCATTCTTTTAGCATTTCTCCATATTCAATATACTATCAGCTCCAAGAAAATCATCCTCCTCCTATGTGTTCCTATTGGTTCCTTTACTCTCCTTTGGAAGTGCATGTAAAGTTTTTGGACACACATTCACACCAACTAAACATTTTTCACTAGACTCGGTTTCAAGAGATGAAAAACAGGAACAGAAAACTAGAACACAGGATTTTACACAGAATTCAAATGAATTTTAACATGTTACATAAATGCACTAAATTTGCAAGCAATAAAATTATAGTGAGCAGCCATTATAGAGAAAACAAATTAAACCCTGTTTAACTAAACAGCTCTTAAACATGTTTAAGTTTTGGTGTGAATGGGGCCACCAAGTACATGAAATTATAAACTGGCAAGTGGTTAGAGCACTGGACTTGTAATCCACAGGCACTGGGATTTAAAGTCCCATCTAGATTGCAAAACAGTTGGTTTTTTTCCTCTCAATCAGTTTTTCAAGGCCCCTGCTTGAGATCTTGATGCAAAGTGTGCAAGCTTCACATGTCTGTAGGATGTGTTATATATACTAAAGAGAGAGTTCTAGGGCAATTTAAAGATAAGCTTCACATCAATGCGCATTTATCGCTGTGAACACTGTCTTTATCTCCTAGTAGATCTTTGTCAATGCAGGCACCCTTCTTCCTCTGCATACACTGTGACGCAGGCTAGATTTTATTAAGCTCTTGTCGCTCTTTTTTTGATAGTACAAAGGACTCTGTCTTTTGGACGCATTGTCATTTTCTCCTCGCACTGCAGGGTTTGCCCAGCTACCAATTCAAACTTAAATTTCCGAAAGAGTTGTGCCATCACAATGGAAGCATTGATGTTTGAGAAATCCTTTCCCATACAAATTCTTTGTCCACAAGAAAAACGAAAGTATTCAAAGTTGGAGAGCTTGTTTTCACTGTTATTTTTGTCTGAAAACCTGTCAGGAATAAAGCATTCAGGATCGCACCAGTTTTCTGGTAAGTGATGTGCAACATAGATGGGAAAATTAATATTGGCCCCTTTGGGAATCAGAAATGAGCCAAATTTCTCTGGTTTTGTTGTTCTGCGCACGGTCCCACTGGCTGGCGGGTGTTTCCGTAGACTCTCTTTAAGTGTTTGCCTAACAAACTGTAGTTTTGAAATGTCATCATACTCAACAGTGTCTTTGTTCCCAAGAACAATGTCAACTTCTTGACAAATCCTGAAAAAAGTGAAAACAACAATAATTGATATTATTAATACGTACTTTAAAGTAACTATCAACAACAGGAGTAGAATCTTCAATCTGTAAATGAATATATTTTACAGTAAACAGAGCTGTCACCGGTGGGCATGACAGATTAAATCTGAGAGGTTGAATTAATACCATAACAAGGCTAGAGCTGAAACAATTTTACTTCATAAGACTACCTGTTTTCAATTCTTTCGTTTAAGAGGATTTCTAGTAATGCAAAGCTGACTTGATTTGTTGTTGTGTCCTTACCTGAAAATATAATAACAACAATTTCAAACTTTAAAAAGTGCTCACTTGCATATCATACAAAACATGGAACCCGGGTCCATAGACCACCTCTGTGGACCTAGTCCATGGACCTCTTTGTGGACCCAGTCCATGGACCACCCCCATGGAACACCCTTAATTTTTGAAGATGAATTTTTACCAGAGGTTTAAACAAATTTACGGATAAAACTGTCACAATGTTTAGTATATTATCAGGATTAAAGGCTCCTCATCAGTTATACACTTGCTCAAATTTTTCCTGAATTCTATTTATTGGTTTGGTTTAGTCTGGAAGGAAAAGCAATATTTGAAGAGGACAAGGGGAGAGGTAGGGAGGAGGTAGTCAACTCTTTTTTGTGTCATCATATTGCGTGAGGATCAACACAAAAACAGCTGTGTGGCAGAATAGGGAGGAAAAGGAAATGCATAATGATTGAGTACCCCCCCCCCAGACATCCCCTCCCTTGATAGCCCTTCAAAGTGTTTATTATTCGGCAAATTTACTTGAATCCTGCTCATGAATCAAGCATTAAAAGACCTTCATATCATCAAACAAGGTGGTTGGTCAAATGTGTTTCAAGTTGGTTCATGTAACTTGTCATTCACTCAAGTTGAGATTGTTGTTGTTACAAATACAATATAGACATTAAACTTTTTCCTTAGTCACATATGCAGCCATTTGTCAATTTTCATTTCACTTTTGAAGCAACATGACGACAAAAAAGAGCTGCATAGGAGACTACGTCCTCCCTACCACTCTTCCTGTTCCCTTCAAATATGGTTACTCCAACAGACTAAAACAAACTCATTACACTGGTATGGAAAATTGAAAAAAATATGACGAGCAAATAACCCTGATAATAAGTTTCCCAGTTTCAACACAGTAACGTTATGTCCATATAAGGTTCCAAAAATTTGTTTAGGCCTCTGGTTAAAATTCATCTTCAAAAATTAGGGGTGGTCCATGGACTGGGGGTCCATGTTTTGTATATGTTGCAGGTAATTTTTTATTTCAGGTAATTTTTGTTTTTCCTTTGTTTCAAATTCATTAGCATACATTACCTACCAAAAAAACAAAGGAAAAACAAAAATTATCTGAAACATAAAATTAACTGCAACACATATGTCCTGCTCACTTTTTATCTGACACTAGCTTTAACCTTATTTTGAGTCATAGATCAGAAGTTGTAGCTGCATGCACTGTGATAACGTTATGAAATTAAGTCAAACCTCAAAACCAAGCTGCTCCAGTAAAGACCAACCATTTAACCCAATCCCTGAACTGCCCATGTGGATCCACTGTTTTTCGACCCCTTAGGACATCATGCAGTTTTAACGGTTAAGGACAACTTTGTCTGCTAACTTGTGCAGGGTGAAGAGATCTTTCTATTTATACCAGGATGAGCACAATTCAGTTGACGAGACCAGAGCAAAAGGTAAAAAGCCAAGTAACATTGACCCAAAAATTTTCATGAAAATTTTGTTTCACTACCCATGGCCACCCATCTACCTTTCTTAATTAAATCAAGATCCTAAATGCTTTCCCAAACACTTTTCCCACCAAAATGAAGCCTACTAAGTCTTAATGCCAGGCAAAAGAAAAAAATCAGGCAAGAAAAGCAAGACATGACGGGAGAAGAAAAAGCAGAAAGAAGAAAGTCAAGACTGCTGTGCCATAGCCTGTGTGGGAGGCTTTCGAAAGGGAGGTGAAACGTGGTTTTGGGCATGAGAGAAGCGCAAGGGGGTGCATGAGGAAGGAGGGAGGGGAAGGCCTGCAAGGATGCTATCATTTTTTATGTTGTATACATCCACCAAATGAATGTTAAAATCCTGATTGGTCAGTCTTCAAAACATGTCACAGCCTTAATACCTCAATCTGATTGGTTGAAATCAACATCATGCAATTTGAGTAACTTTAATAATCAATCATTCAAATATGTCATTGTGGTAAGCAGTTAAACACCCGTATGAAGGAATAATTACAGTAAGCAAGAATAGTAGGTTTGGCTGTAAACAAGAGTCAAACCTGACAAAAGATGCTATCATTTTTATGTTTTTAAGAAGTTGTACATCTTGGTGCCTTTACCATCACAGTGTATATGTTGCTTTCTTTCATTCTAGAAATTTTACGTTGTTTTAGCATGATTTACATCAGATTACCAACAGTTTTTATCGGTTTTTCATGATTTTGCCATGGTACAGTAAAGTAAGAGACAAGATTGACTGTCAGTGAAACGTTGACAGTGTCATTTTAACAAATTTCAGGTACGCTACACAGTTTAAAAGTCCTAATTAAAAGTTTAAGTCTTTCACCACTGTTGGTATTTCAGTGTCGTAAACGTCCAGAGTCTGACTCTGTATAGGTTTCTCAATTGATTCCATAGCCGTTTTCTACAGTGTGTAGGTTGTTGTTTTCTAGGCCAACATTTGCTAGGTCATCGCTTTCTGGGTTGTCATTTTATGAGTCGTAGGTCTTTGTTTTCTAGGTCGTTGTTTTTTTTTCTTTCCTGTGAGAACCCTGATTCTTGTATTGACCAGCTCTAGCAGGGGTCGGGCAGGGCAATTATATCAATTTATTGCTAAAAAATTATTATTGTAACATTCAAATTAGATCCATGAAATTCAAAAAACATCTGTTTTTTCCTCCTCAAATTGAATTGGCCTGTCTAATTCCTGAGATCCTATTTGAACTTATAAAATAACTAAAACAGCATTTCATTCCCTTGTCAATTGTACTGTAAGTGGGAATTTTTTGTAGCTAGTATACAATCCATTAGGACTGCTCAGAAATATAATGTACACTAGCCTGACAGTACACACTGTACTTACCTGCAATGAAAAAAGCACAGAATTCATCCACAAGATCCTTCATGTTAACATCATGATCAAACTGACTTGCTTGTAAAATCATCCCCATTAGATCATTGGGTTGTGCCTGACAATTCTCTATTGCCTCTTTTCGTGCTGATTTATACATTCCCTGGCAAGATTTCTTAGAAAAGATAGTGAATTACAGACATTCTTCTGAAATTAATATTTGCATAATGGAAGATACAGCAATGGATCAATGCAGCTTTCTTCATAACCCTCCGGGCATTTAAACAGGCAGTTGGGAACAACACTGTTGTTATCTTCTAAGCATTTCAGCTCCATATCAAATGCAACCTTGAAAGATCAAGTAAAAAATGAACAACTTGACACAAATATGCTCAACATGAGATACTAAAGAAAATGTTAAATCAACTAGGAAATCAGAAAAAACAGTCGCACTCAGTGGATGCTTGCTTGAATACTGTACATAACAGTGGCTGTTCATTGGGCATTAAGTCCAGAATGATTAATTTGCCCACTGTACAAACTACATGTATTAATAAATTTAATACGGTGAACCCTTAATGTATTAATATTAAGTTTTAAAATGAATATCAGACTTTCCTCTTTCCTAAATGTACATTTGATGGAAAGTACCTAGGTTTCCTTCCTCTCTCTTTAACCCCTTGCCTACCAAAGCCAAGTACGTCCAGCAACCGGCAGCCATTTCTCAATGACCAGAGTTCATTTATTCAAGACAACTCGCATGACTGGGCTGTTGGCGATTTCATTTGTCTGAGTGACCTCACACAGGACTTGGTAGGCAAGAGGTTAAAAATGGTCATATCCCAAAAGGGGGCATTTTTCAGCCAAAGTGAATATAAGCAGCTTTAAATGATCAAGTGTGAAGCTAAACTGGAACTTCCATTGGGGTTGGTGGGGGAATCAAACCAACAATGAGGCCTTCCACAAGAAGAGTATGAATATTTCCTAGTACAACACAAATGTCAATAAAATGATAATTAATATAAATCCAAACATTTTACAGACCTTTCCAATGACATCTAAAGTAGCTTTCTGAAGTTCATCAGCCATGTCAACAACAGTCTTTCCATCAGCAACTTTTGTGAACTTGGTAACAAGAGTGCTGGCTACAGAGTTAAATTGTGGAACCAGACCTTTCAAGTAACCCCGATGAAATGCTGGGCTCAACAAACGTTTTTGATGCATCCATTTCTTGTGGTTGAGTTGAGTAAATAAACCAGAGCCTAAAAATCTATACCTCTCAAACAAATAAGCTATACTGTAACATATGTTGAAGGTGCTTTAGGAAGATTCAAGGTCACAATGCCATGTTTTATGAATTCAGGACTGGATATTACCACAAGTGGTGAAAAAAAGTACCACCAAACAAACACTGGCCCATACGTGAGAGCATGATCAAGCAGTATTTCACACAACAGTCGCCCCTTGTTATCTCTAAGCTCTGAAGCATTACCATGGAAGAAACTTGTCCGTTTAGATCCTGGAATGTGGTTGTACTGCTGATGTCGATAATCCACAGAAAAAGCACACAAATCAAGAAAACAACAAGTAACACAACCAAGAAAATGACCAGGGTAATTATATCAAATTCAAGATTACTGAAATTCAAGATAATTACTGAATCTATGATATCAATGATAACTATATGGAATGGTGTTACTCAGATTCTATTATTATATGCTGCAGAACAAACAATGAATCTTTCAGTATATTTAAAACAAATCATGTTCAAAACTATACAACTCTTAACAAAAAGTGAATTTTTTAGGTCCTTGAATGTCTGAAACTAATAATATTACATGTATTATTATCACATGTATCTTGAAAATTTTGTTCATTGTTATGAAGACAAACAACATCAATATAGCAACCATGCATAGCTGAGCACTTAATAACACAATCTTATTTCTAGACCTTATTTGTATTAATTAATTTGGCTAAAGAGTCAATTAGTGATTATTATTAGTCATCTATTTAGGCATATTTGCTTTAGGAAGCAATTGGTTTTTTATTAGTTACATAGGCCTTCTGATTTAAGTGAACATTGCCTGAATTTGACATGTCTGTGAAGGTATGGCTTGTAAATAAAAAGTTATTAAATAAATGAAGGTGGTTTCTTACACTGGTCCCAGAGGTTTTTCTTGAAATTAAAAACCTCTGGGACCAGGGTAGTGGTTTCTCTGTAGTTATCCTACAGCTGACTAGCCTGAGAAAAAGCCAACACTTTATAATGCAACTGCTGTGGTTTTTCCTTCAAAATGATGCCTGAGGAACAGGGAACAGAAATTCTACACTTACGATGTGACACTACCCTTATCTGGGCAGAAGTGCTTGTGACTGGTTGAGGCAAATTCCCTTGTGGAATGACCAATCAGAAGTACTACCCAGACAGCAACATGTCATTAGTACAGAATTTCTATTCTCCCTTCTCAGTCGTTATTTTGCAGGGAAAAAAGTTTTGGCAAATTCTGAAATGTTAGCTGTTTTCTCAGGTTAATGCCCGGTTAGCTATTCTCTTTGGAAATGATATACTGTGAATGATCTCATAGAAGCCCGCAGTGTTTATTGTATTTCAGGGCTCCAAGAGAAGGCATTTAAAAGAGAAAAGCATCTTTTCTCCTGACTGTAGCATGGTGAACACTTTTCGCTCCTTTTTATAGTAATCGTCATCTGTTAGACAGGGTCTGTTCATTAGAGAGAGCCGTCTAATACAATCTTAAAAGCATAGGAGAGGCTTTTATTAGGCAAGAGGCATCAATTTGAGAGAGGGCATCTATTAGATCATTAAAAGTAAAATTAAAAATGATCGAAACAGTTTATGATGTATGTTTGCCTCCAATGCTTACAATGACGTTTCCCACCAAACCATGTTCAAGTTTTTTCCTCTTGGGGAATTTATTGTTGTGTAACTGCAAATATGAAAATTTAATGATCAAATCTCAGAGTGAACCCAACCAAAGCTATTCTCCATCGGGAGCCTTGAGTACAATGTCTAGTAAGACTGCACCTATTATTGTTAGTTTTGTTGTTGTATGCAATGAAGGTGTATTAATAATGGTAATAGGACTGGGTGGAGTCCAATTTAGACTTCTTCAATCACAAGTATGATTAAAGACCGAATTGGACAACACAATGTCCTGTTACCAATAAATCATAACTATAACAAAATTTGCGATACTTCAGGCATTTTCGCTAGCATTGAAAAACAAGCCATAAATGTAAGTATGTGATGTACAAACTGTCCTATTAGTGCTGAAATCAGGACAGATGATAGCCAATCAGATTTGAGAATTTTGTTGTAGTTATGATTAAAGTAGGAATGACCCTTTGGGGCCCGAGAACAAAATAGCATTGATAAGTGGCTTTTTTCAACACTATGTTGTACTCGCTGTTTATGCCACCTCTGAAATAAACAAAGTCTAAGACATACTTCGCACAAATTAATTAATGTCTGCAGCCACTTAGAAGCATTTTTGCCCAAGCTACTCATGTTAATTAGCAGAGTTGTCTGTTTACAAGAGTTACTAGTAGAAGAAATAACAAACAAATATCCAAAGGCTGCCCACTTTAGCCATTACAGGCCTTGTCAGCCGTAAATGGCTCTGAGTTCTGTACCTTGCGATGATTTCTTGTACTGCTTGTGACTTCCAGTCTAAGAAAAGTTCCAGAAGAACAAATCTTCTGAACAGGCCATTTCCACCGTGGCGTCATTTTACTGCAACTAACAGAATCCTTTGGGATTTTGTTTCCTTTTGAAAATTTATTATTTGGGCTTTTGAAGGCTTTGTTATTTAAACCTCACTGGGATTTCCAAATTCTAAGGTGAAAGAAAAAACTAATGAATTCTGGCCTAATTGTAGCAGGCAATTCATCTCGCACCCAGATCTCTTGTCAAATAGGTAGCCGCTGTTCGGGAAAGCGAGCCTGCACTCATCTCTCTTTGTCTCTCTTTGTCTTGCCCGGTAGCCTCCTCGGAGACCCAGGGGCAGATAGTGGGGGCGAGGGAAAGTCTAAACGGGCGGAAAAATAAGGCACGAAGAAAAGTAAAGAACGGCGAGAAGAACCCCTGGGGACAATGTCTTACCAGACCAAGATCTCTTGACCAGACCAGCTCCAAACGGTCGCCGCCATTCTGGCTTCTGATTGGGCAGAAAAACACAAAAACTGGTCTGGTAAGACATTGTACCAGGGGCTCTTCTCGCCGTTCTTTACTTTTCTTCGTGCCTTATTTTTCCGCCCGTTTAGACTTTCCCTCGCCCCCACTATCTGCCCCTGGGTCTCCGAGGATGCTAATTGCCCGGCTAGGACTAAATACAAAAATCCAGATTTATTTTTTATGGAATTTTTAGAAAATTGTAGGCTTTTTAGACGACGATAATACTAACTATGTATATCGCAGAACCTCGCGGAGCTCAGGAGGGGTTGGGGGGAGGCGGTGGCGGGTTGGGGGGAGGTCCATAAATGTCAGGGATGGAAGGAGGGAGAGCATTGGAGTAAATTATGTAGATATATCGTCAACCTCGCTTTACAGGCCCTGGTTATTACCATTTGTATTGCATCGCACTGTCTATTTTCTTGTCACAATCGTGTGCTAATTGTAGACATTGTACCCTGTTCAAACAGTTTTGTGCCTCCTCTATCTCCTACTACACAAGTTTCATGATCTTGCATTAAAAAATCCCCTTGGATTACTCCTGAGGCACGGGAACCCAACGAGAATATAGTTCAAAACCACTTAAACATAGCATTGTTTAACGTATTTTAGTATTTAAACGGTAGATATAGACATATTTTTATCCCCTAAAAAGTTTTTATCTGTTCGGATTTCCTAGCAGAAAGTCTAGTGATCCGAAAATTATAGGGATCAAAACTTACCTTTTCGAAAATTTCAGCCAGAAAAAAGGCTCAAGAAAATTCTAGGTGACCTTTTTAGGGTAAAAATCCCTTTAAAACGGGCAATATTTATTATACCATTTTTTAGATGTTCGAAAATCCTTGCAGAGGCAGGCAAGCAAGAAATTTTACAACCAATGTTCCGAAAATTCTAGATCTCAAATCGTCTTCCGAACAGATATTTTCCGAAAATTGACGTCGGGTGCCACTGCTGAGGAAGCTGCCTGATTACAGGTAGGAATAGATTAAAAAGGCAAGCCGTATTAACAAAACTTCCATCTATAGGGGAGAAATACAAAAAAGAATGAAATAGACTACATGAATACACAACGAGATTAAAATGGCAAAAGTTAATTACTATAACTCATAACTGGAGCAAAACATGGGTGATCCGAAGGGAATGTGGAGATCAGTCAATGAGTTAACATATCGTAAATTCACCAGTAACTCTTCAATAAGGGAATTACAGTCAAACCAAGTCAAGCGTTCCCGTCGCTAACGAACTAATGAATTCATTCACGGAAAAATGATTTCGTTTGTTGATTCAATAATCCATTCATAAAATGAACAAT